TTAGAATATTATGACAAAATTTGCAAATGTCTCAGTGGTTATGACAACGCTCATAAAACACAAGAGCTGGCTTATAGCCAACACTGTTATGTTGCTGCCTGCATATCTCTCTTCACTAGAAGTCAGTTGGGATGGATCATGATCCTAATGGCATTAGGCCTGTAAACTACCTTGTTGTTCTACAGAGTCAATGAGTAGCTTGTAATTGCTTGTTAAGCAGAACAAAGAGTAAACAGTCTTGGTATGCTGATGGCTGGACAGATGGTTTCAAGGTACAACCTGAGTGGTCTCGAGCATTGAAGTAAAGACTTTTAACAGAGGTAAAAGGAATTGTTTCTTATAGGTATCCTATCCTGTAACAATATTGCCATTCTGCAATGCTTTCTATAAAATAACATTTCTGTTTCATGTGTTTGTGTTCTGGGTGGTCAGATGTTGCCTTCTCATCAGTCTCACAGGGGGCATTTAAAATGTTTGAAGCATATGGTGCATTACATCAGTTTGTATTCCTGCTAAAGAATTAATGAAACTTACTGATCACAATTTCCCAGAATCCACAGCGACATCTTCAAATTGCTTGTCTGACCAACTGTTCAAAACCCAAAGATATTCAGTTTATATAGATAAAGCTGCAAAGCCATTTGTAAAGCTGACAATTTGACAATTTTGGTTGTAAAATTCCTTCTGGTTAACTGACAATTAAGTGATCATCAAAATTGTTGCTGATTAATTTTCTGATAATTAACTAACTGCTTAATCCACTAATCATTTCAGCCCTTCAAAGTGGCTACAATATGTTTTTACAATGCTTTCTGGGAGGAAAGAAGAGGAAGTTGTAAGATCTAAATTGACCAGCCAGGGCCATTTCATTGAACCTGATAAGGAGGAGGCAGCGAGGTTACTGAGGGGTCAGAGTTGTGTTGCAGAGGGGCAGTGAGGCTATCTGAGCTTGTCAGCAGACTCTGTACAAGATCATGGAATCGTAAAAACAAAGAGGAGAAATCTTCTCTGCAAAAGTGCTGTGGATCCAAACGGATGCACTGTCTAGATTTAAAGCTGAAAGAGACAACATGAGAGCATTTTTGCTTAAAGCTAAGAGAAAGTGTCAAAATATTTACTAGTACATCCTGAAATTATTAATTAATTCCTAAAGCTACCATTGCTTCTACCATTTGTAAATCCATTATAGGTGAAAATTCTGTCTCCAGAGCCATAATATCAAGTATGTCTTGAAAACTTTACCAGCTCAGTCTTATGATCTTATTTTAACTTTCATGTGTGCTGCTGTGTGCATGTGTGCGTGGTAGAACATGCGTGTGTGTGTTTGGTGTGTGTGTGTGGGGGGGGGAGGATTCGTCTTGCTTTACCGTGGAATTGAGGGGTGGGTAAGGTCACAAATCAAACCCTCAGATCTATTTCAAGCAGAGACTCTCCCTCCTGTTCCTATCCTTTACTTTTACTCTCAGGTTTTGGACTCAATCTGTCTGCTCAGTGTCCTCACTGACAAGAGAGAACTGTTCATTTTCTACTTGTCAGCTTGTACCAAGAGAGTCCAATACGCACGCAGTTTCCCATTTCAGTGTTTGTAAATGGATATGAGCAAATGCGTGATTGGCCCTCTGACATACAGTAGCTCAGAGTGACAACTTGTTAGTTTTTCTGAAAGTTATGCATGAGAAAGTCACTCTCTGCTTATGCTATCCTTTCTTACCTTCGCACACATGCATACAGCGTATACACAGTTTGGTTCATTCAGTCCAAAAGTGTTCTTCCCTTCCTTTCCACCAAGAAACTTCAATAATTCATGAGGGATCACAGCACCCACAAAGAGTCATGTTCCCACTCCTACAACCCTACACCAGCAAGCTGATACACTGGTCACAATACTTCAAGTCACAAAATAACAAGGGAGTCACTTTACGGCCGATGCATTCCTACACACACACACACACACACACACACACAGACCTTTTAGTGCATGTGGGAGTGTGATGGAATAGCTAACCAGTGTTATAGCTGCTTACCAGTAAGTGCTTATTGAGACGGCAGGTGAAAGAAAGTATCTGCCTCATATATGGATACATTTTCAGCTAACAACTCCAGAGTGCACATTAAAAGTGACTGGATTTGGATCTCAGGCTTTTATGCATGTGTCAATTTACATACTAGCTTCACCAGCTCTGCCTGACAAAGACACTCCTTGTATAAGATGTTGACAACACTCTGTAAGGTTTATGAGACGGAGAGTTCATCTTTTTTTGGGGGGTGCATGTCAGTTAGTGTCACACCAGCTCTCAGCTCTCTGTCTCTTTAAATCTCTTTGTCTCTCACACCCAGGCCAACTACCCTCAACCACTCAAATCAAATCAAAAAATCCCCAAGGACTCTGCTCTCAGATGGGGGAGTGCCCCATCTCTTTCTCTCCGGGATGGCTACCGGCTGAGTGTAATAAAGGCCTTTGTTATGCTGCCCTGCCACAAATCTCTGTTGTTAAAGCACAATGGGAAGGAGCCACGAAATGTGAAATGCACGCAGCAGAAAATGCTTTATCAATCACATAGATGAATTATTGATTCTGGTAACAAAGAAGTCAAAGCACACAACAAAAATATATAAGTTATCACATCAGCTGAGGGTGTTTGCGGTTGTCAAAATGATCCAAGAATTTAAAAAATGTCTTGAGCCTGATTGCCTGTGGCTTACCTGGAGGGGTGCAATAAAGATAAGGACAGAAAGGTCTTGAGTTTCTATTTTACAGAGCATGTGTCCATGCACACAGGTTTAACAGGTGCACATCTGCTTGGATACTGTATACAGCTCCCTACCAACAGTAAATTAAAGTGACAGCAAACTGTGTGCAGATTGCCGTAGTCAGAAAACTGCAGTTAAGTTCCAAAAAAACTGTTTTTAAAAGTTAGTTAAATAAATCTTGTGAGCTACAATGCCATGCTATTATCTTAAAACAATGTCAGTCCATCATGAATCACATCAAGCATCACAGGCTCACTTACTTCTGTCTTGATTTGTCTGATTTTGAAACCACGTTGTCAGCTTCCTCACAAAATCCTGCCACTTTCACCAGAACAGAAGTCCTTGAGGCGCTGAACGTCCATGGCAAAGGGCAAAAATATAATACAAGCCAGTGATAGTCCCAACAGTGTGGTTCCAGGGAGGAAGAATGTCCCAACAACTTCACTGGTGTGGGCAAATACCCAACACTACATCAAGCACAGTGCCTTTTCAAATGACTACTACCAGTGTGGGACCAGTGAATTAGTGAAAACCTGGACTGGATTACGGAAGGGGACTACTTTTCCACTCATTTATTCAGTCCTCACATTCAAATTTAGGAAGGAAAAAGGAAGAAATCAGACTCATTAAATCCTAAAATGTCAAAATTTAAGAACACTGAGATCCACATCAATAAGAAAATATCCTTATTACCCCTTTTACCAGTGTGACAATACCTAATTTCCTTTTTTAAATTTGATTAAATGTTAATTTTATCATATTTTACATTATAATTATTTAGTTTTATTATGATCAGATCAGTCATTATTATGGCCATTAGTGCCTAAAAGATGATGAAGAAGCAAACCGTCTCAAATCCTTTTAAAGTGAGGTTCTTGGTCATTTGAATCATTAAATAGCTACTTCAAGATTCAATTTGATTAAATGGTAAGTAATGTATGTTATACAGTCCAGTATAGTGCCTCCAGTCAAATAGTAAGCATGGTTGCACTCAAAGAAATCTGCACAAATATTAGATTAAGATCGGAGATAAAAGTTGCAGTCAAACCAAATATTAAAAGAGTATGTTAAATATTTATACTTCCTCAGTGAACAGCACTAGTTCTCTGTGATCTGCAGCTTCAGAAACTTTACTCTGCTGTTGTCTGTCTCAGCCGTGGTTTCCCTCCCACTCCTCCCTCAGTGACAGTTCAAAGTCTGGCAGCAACAGCCATCAGCCTGAAATGCACCTTACAATTTAAACCAGCCCACCAATCACAAGCCTCTCCGGCCGTAACAGTCGCTAGTGACATTTGCACAACAAAAGAGAGGCTAGCTGATTCATCAACCCCCCTCCTTTCCTTCACTCCCTTTCCCTTCCACCGTGACTCCTCCTCTCCTGCCTTTGTGCTCGGTCCCAAAATCCCCTTCTACCCCTGTGACCCTCCTCCTCTTTGCACTAATCTCCTTGCGCCCAGTGGATTGACTGCTTCAGTACTACCTCTCACTGCACCGAGAGACCCCCGTCACCCTGCACCCCACAGGACACACATCACAGTCTGTCCTCATTTGCAGGCCCTCCTCCTCCCCCTCCTCCTTTCTACTCCTCTGCCTTGCATGGATGAAGCGTGGATAGAAACGACAGCACATGGAGGCACAAGGTGTAATTTTGGCAATGGACTTGTTTGGCAAACAATAATGACAATCACATGAGCAAAAATCCTGGACACACAGAATATTTGCTTTTGGGTTTGTTCTTCAGCAGGGGTTGATGTACTCTCATCGGAACAAAATCAATTGATAAAAATCTTATTCTTCTGTTGTGGCTTTTCATAATGATATTAAATTAAAGGCAGTTTACAGGCTGGGTCTGTTTTCTGTTCTATTTCAGTGCTTAAATACTCTAATGTCTTGATCATATTATGGCTGCAAGGGCCCTCTTTATAGGTACTTAAAGACCCCCACACATACACACAACATGTAAGGCTCCCGTGGGGTTTGAGGGCAGCCAATATAGAGTTTAGCCTTTGCTTCGCTTTGTATTTCACATTGGGTGTTTCTATAGCAACAGTGATCTCAGAGAGGGACAAGTGGACCCCCTCTCCAGTTTTGAACACATTAACATACCCCGCCCCTGTCTTGTGTTTGGTGGGGTGTCCCACACACACACACACACACACACACACACACACACACACACACACACACACATACACACACACAGGAGGTGGTATAATGGGGTAAATGAAAGCCAAGGAATTAGTATCAGGGAGGTTTTAACAACCTTTTAATCATTTAAAACTTCTAAAGACTGTGAAATCGAGTAAAAATAAAGCATAAACCACGGCAACAGGTGTACTGAGGAAAGTAAAGTAAAAAGGTTCTTTATAACATTAACTGTTTTCATAACATTGACAACTTATGGCAATTTTACGCCTGTAGTGAGACTTTTAAACTCCCTTTATATGTGACAATATATCAGTAGGCAATAGCAGGTGAGCAGTGTAAATAAAACAGAGTGTGTTGTCACATTATGATTATTTCAGAGCTCAGAAACATGTATGTCTTGGAACAATTAGTCACTTGGTGCATCACGTCCTCTTAAAGATCCTCATCATCAGTCTGAATAAAACGCTCTCCCAGACAGCCTTGGAGGCCCTGTCCCATAGGCTGTCCTCCTTCCACAATCCCCGCCCCTTCCTCTCAGCTTTGACCTCTGCCCTGTGCAGCCGTTTTTGGAGACGCCAGTAGAGGCGAGAGTCAGGCAGGACTCCGACGACGGGCGCAGTCCGAGCCAGACCGAGCCTGAGAACCTCTTCGTTCATACAGTAGCTCCACACTGAGCCCTGCTGGAGAGACAAGGGAAAGAAATGACTGCATAAATAAACTCCTATCTAGCTGACATTAAGTGTTATAGATAAGCTATAAAACTTTGTCTGGGGAATTAGATTCCTCACCGTGCTTTGAGACACCAAACAGTGTAGTGTGTCGTCCTCTCGGCTTATAAGTTTTAGCCAGACTGTTTGCGCAGGAGCCAGGTTCTTCTGCAGCCATACCCTGCCCTCTGGAGTCAGCTCCACTCCTGCAAGATGCACCACCATCGTGGATGTACGCACACCTAAAGAGGACAAAAAAGGGCCATTTACTTTACATGTTACAGTAAAGTTTATAGCTGACTTGTAGTATGCACACTCTGTTGAGCACTGATAATTGATTATGGACTGGGTATTGTTGAAGTTTCATTAATACTAGTGCTGAGTTGCACAACTACACCTTTTATCTTTATCCTTCCTTTGTGCACAAGCAGCTGTACAAGAACTTTGTCCACATAAAATGGTCTAAATTTTTTTTAAATACTTCAAATCAGTAACTAAGTCACTAAACAAGACTACAAAATTCACATAGATAAATTGAGTGAGACTTGATCTGTAAGATAGAAAACTCAGACCTTCACATTTGTGATTTAAGTACCAGTAAATGATCTTTGTGTAAGAGCCACCGAGTCCAAACGATCAGTCTAACCAGCTTTAAAATGTAGGAGGTCAAGTGGGACTAAAGTAATATTTGAAATAGCTGCGAGTCCTTCACACACTGCAGTTGCTGATGGAGCACTCTATATAAAGCAAAAGCTGCTTGATTTAATTGCTCAGGGCACACTGATTTGATAACGCAGCTAACAAGGTTACCTGTCACCCTCACTCATGAAAAGATGATAAAGTGCAACAGTCTGACTTTACAAAGTAAAAATGTCACAGTGACATTTTTTGCTGTTAACAAGATAAAAAGAGACAAGACAAGCAGTGGGTGGGATTTGTGTTGCACTTATTCTTGCGCAGGGAGGCACACAAGCTTGACTGTGTGTATGCCTTTATGATTTCACTCAAAGAACAACCCCCACATTACCTTTGTGTTTTGAAAGTAGCGGAGAGAGGACAGGCACATGAATCGGGACATGTTCCACTTCAACTCCTCTCTCTGTGACTGAATGAACTTTCCCACGAAGGCTGACGTTCCTCTCGATGAAACGAGCAGGGATCTCGGAGGCAGCTTGAAATTTGGTGAGCTGAGGAGAAGGAATAAGACAGCTTGGTGACGGCGTTTAATGACTCATTTGGGTAAAATATGTGAAAATGCATTTTATTCACATCCTACAAGTCTAATGTTACAATATGCAATAAAAGTCTGAATGAACTGGTTAATAAAAGGAGCCTTTTGGCCTTATCCAAGCTCTATATAGTTATATATAACTAAAAAAAACCTCTAAAAACTATATAGTTTCCACCTTACTGAGTATAAGCAGTGTTGGAATTTAGTACATTTACTAAAGCACTGTACTTTGACATACTTCTACTTTATTTGAGTAATTACATTATATGCTACTTTATATTTAAAGGGGTATATTGTAGCTATATTGTAGTTTTTACTCCACTTTATTCATTTGATTCTTATAGTAAAATATGTATGATTTGCTTAGAGGATTCAGTAGCGACTATACTACTAATTCAGTTCAATGTATTGTATGTAATTAAATTTTATTTGTATAGCGGCTAATCATAACTTATATAAAAACGTATAAAACTTATATCAGGACACTATTCAAATAGAGCAGGTCTAGACTGTAGACTACTCCTTATGAAATTATGTATAAAGACCCAATAATTCCCATCATGAACAAGCACAGTGACAAGGAAAACCATCCCTTTTTTTATAGTATACGAATTGCCTATCTACCCAGTAGTATACAAAGTATCTAAAACTGGCTCCACATTGACCAACTATAACATTAAAATGCTCTTACATATATTCATAACAGAATAATATAATATTCTGTAATAATAAAACCATTCTACATAATGAGTGTTGCTGATAATACAGTCCTTTTACTCAAGTAACATTTTAAATTCAGGACTTTTCCTTGTAATAGGGTAATTTTGGACTGCGGTACAAGTAACAGATCTAAGTACTAGTGTCAAAATGTAGCCTGCAACAAAGTGAGAAAGCTATTACAACAGCAAATGCACATTAAACACAAAATGTGCAACTGTGTGCAACTCCTCTCTTACCAGTTTGATACTCCTTGCTATTACAACAACACCAGCAATTGCCAGTCCGGTGCTTATGTTCTGTGTGAGACACAAGAGAGCAGTGATGGATTTAGGAGCTGACAGGATGACAGTGATACACCCTCAACCCAGATGTGTGCAGGACAATGACAACGAGGAAGGACTTTGATAGAGATAATGGTGACACAGGGGAACTGGTGATGCCTGACAGCCTGTCTGGTCAGTGTGGTGAATTATTTCATGGCACCATATGGTACAGAGGAATATTTGGGAGGGAAATGGTCCTGAAAACACAGATTTTCCCCTCTTTTTACCAATACATAGACTATCACCAGAGGAAAGATTAAATGTAGATCCAGGTGAATCGCGTACACTATGGCAACGAGCACCATATTGCACATCCACACCATCCACAAGTCACAGGAAAGGAGACTCCTACCCGCACAAGTGTTAAATTATCATCTGCGAACTGAGCTACTAAAGACACGATGTTGTGAGACGACTGCTTTCCTCCATCTCTGTGTTGTCTGTCACTCATTCCTCCTTCAGTTTCTGTTTCTCTGGAAGTCTCCGGCATGTTGTTGACATTTTCTCGACGCGTCCGACGCTCCGCCCACCTGGGGAGAGACGTAAAAGGGTGAAGGCTTGCGTGAAGTCTCCGCCCCGTGGTTCGGTGTGGGTATGACAGGATGGCGTTTAGGTGCGCCTGAATGCATTGTGTTATAAAACGGCAGACAATTGCAATACTTTGCGATGTGACTGTCAAAGTTAATAGGTGCAAAAAGCTCCGTGTATGCACGGCAATACAGCGGAGGGGCAAAGTTGTTAATGCACCTTTGATAGATCCACCTATTAGCTTTATAAAATACCGTTAGGATCATCTTTGTCTGCACAACTTGACCCAGACAACTTCATATCTGCAGGATAAAGTCAAAGCACAAAGCAAAAGGCGCAGTCAGACAATAGATGCACCCTCTTTATTTATATGCCTATTTATAATAATTCATATTCTGTGTGGAGGAAAAAAAACAACAACATATTTTTCCGCCAGTAAATTTTTTTTTAAATTATTTATTTATTTTTCTTGGAACAGTCACATCCAGCAGATGTTGCACAGTGAAACATGTTTAGTAACAGACATCACTGAGGAGTGACCACTGACTGTATGACAGATGCACCGGAGCTCTCATCTTGTAAACTGTGAAGTCATGGAGCTACTTGAAGACGGATGACGCCCCCATTACCCAAAGTGGCCAATAGGAGTTGAGAGGCAGAGTTGTCCTCCTGGCCGCCATTAAAGAATTCAATCCATGAACTGAAATAATGGAAATCTGCAGGACCCATGGATCAGCCAGAGAAAAGTAGCCGATGAGTAGTGTCGCTAATTTGGCATTTCGTCCGTTTTAAGAGCAGGTTTTACTATGACGGAGCACCGCGGAGGTTTTAGAGAAAAGGAGGGCGGTGAAGCTAATTGTTTTATTTAGCTAGCAAGCTAGCGTTGGAGCTCTGGTATGTTAGCTTTTGTGCTAGCAGGCTAGGAGAGATCAGGGGGAGGGGAGAGTTCCTTTGCTTTGAAATTGTTTCAGATCAGCTAGCTGGCATTAGCATTAGCACACCAGGGGCTAAGCTGTTTTTTTTTTTTTTTTTTTTTGGGGGGGTGAAGTTTTTCTTTTTTAGTTTTCAAGCTCGTATTTTTTTTTTTTTTTTTTTTTTTTTTAAATTGCGCATATAACTTTTCCGGTGTTTGATGTAACGTTAGTCCCAGGTCCTGTTAACGCTCACTGTTGGACGTTTAGTGTAATGTAGCAGCAAGCTTGTGGCTAACCACATCAGACAATACATTTCATATAGGATTGATGAGTCCAATAGCTAGAAGCTTACAGCTATCTGACTGTCTGTCTAACGCTAGCTTAGCTACCGGGCTAGCGGTGGCTACCGCCGGTTAGAAGTTGTCTGTTGGACTAGCGGCAGCTAGCTGTAGCTAGCAAGTTGGTCGGCGTTTTAACGGGATAATTACAACTGAACATCGCTTCGCCAGCGAGTTAAGAAGACCAGCTATTGCCCCCGATGGTGATTGAGACAATGGACTTTAACGTTACCACCCCGCAGTGAAAGGATGAGTTCGTGCTTTGTACCAAACGGGGCCAGTTTGGAGGATTGCCACTCCAACCTATTCTGCCTGGTAAGTCTTTCTGCGCTAGCTAGCGTTAGCTGTGATACTGAGAGGCCAGAAAGCCATTTTGGCTAATCAGGGCAACAAGCTTTGTAACGTCAGTTGCAGACTAGCGTGAAGGCATCGGGCCTGCAACTTGCAAATCGTGATATAAAAGCTAACTTTCGTAACAGAGACAGCACATACTGCAGGGAGACTATATTGGAGAGTTGCTCACTAAAATGTCACAATCGTGTGTTTACACTGAATTGGTTTCAGAAATATTCAGCTAGCATTAACGGTAGTAACATGATGGTAACAGGTAAGGCCAACAGGGGAATTATTATACACGTCTTATTTTTCTTACATTAAAGTGACACTGCAGTATTAAATGATATCCACATTACAAGACAAGTCACATAGTTGCTGTTATGAATTACACCAACTACTCTGGTTTTAGACTGTCTTGCAGTTGTGCGTCACCAGTTGCTAATAACTGGGGAGTAAATTACTTCATGACAGCAACGTTTTCAGGCATGATTGTGGAGTCACATGTGCAAAGTATTGCAAAACTTTCCAAGATGTCAGCAGGTCTCAGATTTCAACTTTTTTCATTGAAAATGATTTTCTGTATAACAGGACAAGCAGTCTTCAGCTTCTCATGACTTTGTGTAACATGCATTCACTGAGTTATGCAGTCAACAACAGATGATGGGTGATTGATTATTAATTCTCATATTTTTTTTTCTAGGCCGATTTGACCGGAATAAAATGGCGACGTTTTGTGTGCCAAGGATCCACTTCTTCGCCCATCCTTTTCCCTGTGACTGAGGAGGACCCTATCCTGTGTAGTTTCAGCCGATGCCTGACGGCAGATGTGCTGAGTGTGTGGAGAAGGCACCACACCCCCGGTCGCAGAGAGCTCTGGCTTTTCTGGTGGGGTGATGACCCCAGTTTTGCCGAGCTCATCCATAATGACCTCTCAAGTAAGTGCATTCAACACCTCCATGAACATCTCTGTGTCTTCTGCAGATCCAAAATGTGTGATATTTACTAACGTAGTGATTCGCACCATGTTAGGCAATATTTGTACAACTACATTCACGTCTTAGTTCAGTGCTTTGGAATTGGCACAACTACTCTAGATGTTAAATCAGATAAAACATTTCAACACTGTAATGGTTGATGTTATTTACATATACTTTCTAGAGCTGATGTGCACACAGAGAATTGCAGGCAAAATTGGTCTATTTGTGGAAACTCTGTTCATGTTTAAACGTGTTCAGTGATAGATGACGATGCCAACCGTTCTGAACTGCGGCAAACAGTTCTAATGCAGTTTTAATGATACAAAGTCTGATGATGATAAGTTATGATAGTCTAACTGATTTGTGGCTAACGTGTCTTTTAAAGTCTGCAAAGCCTTGTGGAATCCATTGGCTCTCTGGCACAGAGGTACAGACTTGTATGGTAGCATTAAAGCAAGCTGATGTGCATCACAGTCACCTGATGTCAAGATTTTTGCACGAAATGTTCGTTCCAGCTTTGTTGATAATCATATCTGTGAAACAATTCCCTTCAGGGGTTGCTACACAGACCAGGTATTCTGTCTCTAGTTTCAAGTGTCCACAGAGACTGGGAGCAACAATTTCACTAAACTCAGCTAAACTGCAAAGACAGTCGGAAGGTTTAATTTGAAGTTGTCGACTTACATGTAATCATTATTTAGTGTGGCTTTTGAAAAACAGTGTTGACCAGAGCAGCATTCAAAAGATGTCCATGCATGAGTAGACTTCACCTGCAGAACACGTGAACTTTTCACAATAATGTTTTGGATCTTTTTATTGCATGATAACCAATTCGTTAAATGTTGAAATCAGTTGTTTTTCCCATGTTCAAATGGGTCACTTCACGTAGTGCTGTAGTCAGTTGTTGACAAACCAAACTGGGACTCTGTATATGTGTCACACCCATCTAGCACACCACAGTTTACAGTTGGCATTATCCTTTTTATAAGTAAGGAGACAAGTTTGTTTTGTGAGAAGTATCAGGTGTAACATATTTGCCTTATTTTTCAGGTGAGGAGGATGGTGAGTGGGAGAGTGGCCTGTCCTACGAGTGTCGAACACTCCTGTTCAAGGCCATCCACAACCTGCTGGAGCGCTGTCTCATGAACCGTGGCTTTGTTCGCATCGGCAAGTGGTTTGTTAAGCCATACCAGAAGGAAGAGAAGACCATTAATAAAAGGTAAGTCCTGCTTCCTAATAGCAGACAACAAAGTTATATGACACGCCATAAATTGTCAAATGAAAGCCCAAACTCTGTTTGTGGTCAGCGGGAAGTACCTTTACCTGTTGTATTGGTACAACACAGTCATGCCATACTTGTCTATCTGTTGCTCTTTCTCTCTTTTTTTTACAGAAATACTCTTCTCACTGACTCATTCACTCTCTTACTCCTGACTGATTCTACTTTTGTCAGTGTTAAGCTAAGCTGGGGTTAATTAATCATAGTACCTCCTGTAGATGGAAGATATTAGGCTGCCCGGATACCCTGGAAGGTTTTAATAAGAATATGCTAACTTGCTGACATTTTTTGAAAATGCTCCGAGGTCAGAGATTATTGGTCAGCTAACTTGGTGGAGAAGAGCATTGTTGGCTATCAACTAGTGTAGCTACAGCGAAGGTCCTTTCCACCTACACCATAATGGTAATTTCTTAATAACAAAAGAAGGAGCACAGTTGCTGAAACATATGGCAGCAGAAGATGTTGTGGATTGTATCTGTGCTGGAGGGTCGAATATCAGTCAGTATTTCGTGTTAGAGTATTGGTCGAGATTTGCAGCATGTGGGGGTTGGCTATTACTGTACAAATAGATGGATTTACTGTGATACGTGACATTTGCTGGGATCAATGCGTGGAGCATTATGCTTGTTCAAGACAGCTTAAAGAGAGATGATTATGTGTGTTATGCATATGTGTACTGCAGTGGGGGAAAAGCCTCACTGGGCACACGTCCTCATTGATGTGAAAGTTGTGCTCTGAACGTCTTATAACCATTCCTGGCCTTGAATCGTTAAAATTCCCATTTGGGATTCAACTGGAGAGATGTTGCTGCGCAGCTGTATTGTTTCAACTGTTTTTGTAAGTCGCCTTTTCTGGACTGATCATCCTCTTTTATAAGAAAAATAGCTTGAACAAATACACACAAGGCTTTCGTTAAGCAGTGTAACCATGACACAAGACTGTTGACTGCGTACCTGCTGCTCTGATTTTAGGTTTTTTTCGTGGTGGATACTTTTGAAGTCAGTTTAAACTCTTATTAATGAGGCATTTACAACTCGCTTTGAGTCACCAAGATCTTGCGTAATCAAGAATGTTGATTCCTGGAATTAAATCAGATGTAATAATGTGACATAGTATGACGGGACTATTTCGGTTTTCTAATTGCATCATCAGCGTGACACATTT